CCCCCCCACCCCACGCTCCTCCTCTCTGGGGCGCCTCCCCCCCTCCCCCCGGCCTCAGCACCCGCGTCCAGCCTCCTCGCCTCTTCCTCCAGCCGCCCTTTTATCGCTCTCTCCGGCTGGGGGGTTTCTTAAGCCTGGAGAGAGTTCACGCCGGTTGCCCCCCTCGCCGGCTGGCTCGCTCGCTCGCTCGATCTCCCTCCCTCCCCCGATCCTCTCTCCTCCTCCAGTCCCGCCGCCTCCCTCCCTCCCGCCCTCCCCCCTTCCCTCTCCTCCTCCTCCCCTTATCGCCCCATGTGTTGTGCGAGGAAGCAGATTTGCTAAAGAGACCCACTTGCGAAAGAAACGGGAGTAGCATAAGGCGCGGGCAAGCGGCGGCGGCGGCGACGACAGCAGCGGCGGCCGCGGCAGCAGCAGCAGCAGCAGGGAAAAGAGGAGGAGGAGGAGAAAGAGAAGGAGGAGGAGGAAGAGAAGGAGGAGGAGGAAAAGGGAACGAGAGCCGGAGTAGCCGCAGCCGAGGAGGAAAAAGGAGGAGGAGAAAGAAAAGAAGAGAAGAAGAAGGGAAGCAGCCGACGGCAAAAGAGGAGCCAAGCCGAGCGCAGGAGAAGCCGGGAGAGACTTCCGATTTTGGGGAAGGGAGGGAGGAAGAAGGGGAGTGCGCGTGTGTCCGTGTGTGTGTGTGAGGGAGAGAGAGCGCGCGCGGGTGCGTGAGCGCGTGGAGAGTGCGTGTGTGAGTGGGAGCGCGCGCGCGTGTGGTTTTTGTTTGGTTCCTTTCAACCCCCCGCCCGCCCGCCCCGTCTCCCTCCCCTCCTCCTCCTCCTCTCCTCCTCCTCCTCCTCTTCTCCTCCTCCTCCTCTTCCCCGGTTGATGTTTCTACAGCTTCGCCAAACTCCGAGCGGGGCATCTGATCGAAACCCCGCCAGGAGCAGGAGCCAGGCCGGGTCCGCGGGCCGGCGTGCCGAGCGTGGGATTTCTCTCTGGGCTCGCCTGCGCCTCCTGCGAGCTGCTGCGGGCTTCCGCCTGGCTTGCTTGCTTTCCATGGCTTTTCTGAATGGCTGACTGCGGGCTTCGCTGGATCTGGCCCCCAGACCCCCGCCTCTGTTCTTGCAACTCGGGTCGGCTTCAAGAGAGAGAGGGAGGGAGAGACCTTTGAAGGGAGCCGCTCTCTCTCTCTCTCTCTCTCTCTC